CTACCTTACTGTCAGGTTGAGCGAATGGTTTTGATTATGGATCTTAATCTAGGTTTGGATACTCTGGCATCATCCCAGCTCGTCAGCAATCACTATCCCTATGCCTAAAAATTCTCACATCGACCGTCGCGTGATGCCACCAGCCGGCTTGTCTTACTCGCTGCATATAGCGAGTGTGGGTTAGCTGGAGCCTCCATTCTCTCCCTTTCACATACATTTTCTCCCCCTTCACCCACCCCAATAATGCTCTTCTTGTGGACCTTTCCATGAGCACTGATTACTTTGTCTTGTATCGAACTTAGCCTCAGCATCTGCGGGTCAACCGGTGCTGATAGCCTCAGGCGACATAGCAAGCGGCTGAGTGGCTAGAGTGCGAACTTACTGACAGAAAGGTTCCTGACACGAACCCGAATTCTGCTTCTCGACTCTTTGTCGAAGCTTAGGCAACTTGGCACTATCCCAGCCCTCGTGCTTCCCTTTATTGGCATGGAAGCTAGGCATCGAAATGGTGCTACGGCTGAACGACAGGCATTCCGAAGCCAAATTTTATGCCTCGATGCCCAGTCCACACAAGCTGCTCTTGCTCTCATAGTGGGTTCCCTTTGCGTTGATGTATGATGTTTATCATAGGCAAAAATTCAAGATCCAGGCAAAGGTTGAGCTAGTTAATCCACCAATCTACACTCTATTTCGGTTTCGCACCTCTGGCAAGATGTGCAGAGGTTGGCATCACCCTGAGACATTGGCCGAAAGGATTCTTATTTAATTGGATACTCATTTATAATCGTTCCTGTGCGCTTTTACGGGCAACGTTCCTGAAGGAGTCTCACAGGCGAGAAGTTAATCGTTATCTTTTCATCTTGTGTCTTTACCCTCATCATTGATAACAACACCAGACGAGAACATCGGAGCTTTACTGCCATACAACGGTGTTCATTTATTTCAATAAAGCCTCATAATCGAAAGAAGGAAGAAACGGGACACGAGGGAAACTTATGGTTAGCCCACCACAAACATCCGAAGTGCATACACCCCCAACACTCAGTCGGACAATTTGAATAAAAGCTGATATCATGATTGCCATTAACACCGGTGACCCGTCATGTCGTTCACTGTCCCAGCCAATCACAGGGAGAGGCACGTAAATCCCATCCTGGAAGGCCAACAGAACTAATGGCACGCGGAATTTTTGCAACAGTCTCCATCCGTCTATGGTCTTTCGAATTCTGTCCACCTATAGGTTTCGACCTTTCCGAGTTAGCCGCGGAAAACGGCGCTCCTCAGCAAGGGGCAGCTCGGCCCGCGTAACTCGTGGCACATTCACCTTGTTTCGCGATGCTGGATGCGCTCTTTGAGGGGAGTACTCTCGGTCGAGACGTCCTCCTTTGTTGAAGATTATGATGCCGCCTCGATCCTTGGGGTTTTCGGTCACAAGGGGTTTCTGGGGACTGTTTACCTGAATCTTACAAAGTAATCTCCGGATATTCTGGCATTCTATGCCTCTTCCATGTCCATAGTCTTCCCTGTCCACCAGGCTTCACGGCCTGCTTGCACGTTATGTTTCACTAGAAGTCTGATAATTCATCACGTTCAGGAAAGGTGGGAACATCTCTCCAAGAATCAAGCAGACTTTCTGTTCTATCTGACATCTCCGGTGGCTATGCGGACTTCGTACCATCGTGTTGCTGGTGAAAACTTCACACCGTGCAGGTATGTGGCGATCTCGCTCCAGTATGAGTTGGCATCCGACGGTAGAGGAGTCGAAAGAGTGCACGAGACGCCTCTGATCAGTTCACTGCCAGTCTCTGCGTTGTTCGCCTATAACGCAGCCTAGGAATGCGACTCCGGATGAGCGTATGGTCGTAATCCACGAAACTCTCCCAAAACAATCGGCAGTCAGTTAGAGATCTGCGCCATCAGTAATTTATGGCGATGGGACCAGTTTGGGTCTGTGGCCGGCGTGTTGTTGCAGGTCACATGGCTAGGCAACTTCGGTAGTTATTAAAGCTGAACACGGATAATAATCGATTAGTTGTAACACCGTCTCAGTGCCGAGCTCCTCTGTACCCCGATGGAGAAAACTGTGGTCATGTCAGGTTTCCCAAGCCTAGAAAACAGCAGCCGAGATGCTGAGATTGTATTCTAACCACATATCTACCTCCATTGGCAATAATAATTTAGCCGTAACACCATTCTGCCTAGGTGCCATGTCGCCTGAAGGTAGCGCGAAGGCTGAGATCCACCTTGGTTGCTTAAGCCTAGATAGAGGAAGTCGAGGTCGGGCTCTAACCACGGACCTTCCGGTCAGTAGATTCTCGCCCTAACCACTGAGCTATCTTTCCCCTTCTAGGTTTGCCAAAGCGGAGTGGTAGTGAAATGGCTAAGTGGTTAGAGCGCGAATTTACTGATCGGAAGGTCCATGTTCCGAATTTAGCCTCTGCCTCTCGACATACCCTGTCTAGGCCCGGGTAACCTGGCAGTATCCTAGCCCTCGCGCTTCTGTGGCATGGCATTTAGCCACCGAAAGGGTACTACAGCAGAACGAACGATTCATCCACTTCGACCGTTTTCAATGGCTCAAGAATATCGAGCTGACCTGCTCAGGTAGCTACTGTAAACGCACAGTCATGAAGATGACGACGATTGCCCCGAGATTGAATGTAAGCGAGTTAGAGAACTGTTTTCCCAGGCTATCTGACTCGACCAAATGGACACTGCATATCGTAGAGGTCAGCGTATCTTAATACCTCCAGAAAGGCCATACCAGAAACTAGCGACCATGATGGCGCACACAGAGAGGGACAGTGACAGAGAACGCTCGGGGTAGCCCAAGAGATTAAGAAGGCCTTCGTTGCATGCAACGGCCGCCACCTACCGATCGAAATAAGAAAAGTGTCAGCGAAATATACGAAGAAGACGGAACGGTAATTCAGTCCCTCAATCGTCCTTTTGAGCGATGTGCTGAACACAATTCAGCTAGTCTCCTTCAGCTGTCTATGGTCTTCTATAGTCTCTTCCAAATGCTCTACCACCAGATGTGAACCCCGTACTGAGACGAGATTGCCAGCTCTTTGCACAGTGCTAGGAATTTTGCCTCTGGCACGGCACCACCAAGCTCATTCAAGCACTGGATATCAGACCGAACGGTGACACTCTTAAATCTCGGAGAAATATCCTAGCCGACCCCCAAAGTAACTTGATGCGAAGAATTACCAGACGTCAAGTGAAAGTGAGTGTGCGAGCCGACCGTGAAGTGTGATGAACACGGGAAACCAAGGAAATAGAAGAGACCCAGGAAGTCGGGAATGCCCGAAGACCATTTCAGTTGATCCATGCGACTGGTCCCCGAAAACCACCTGTGAGCGGAACCATCAGAGATCGGAAAGGAGTAACCGTCTCGAATAAAGAAGAACGCATCGACCGGTAGGTGTTCAAAAAACGGTTGTTGTGGCCATCAGCTGCCACTCATCTGGAGCCCACAATGGACGCGGAAAGTAAAAAGTAACCTCTTTCTGTTGGTAATTGATCAGGTGGCTGTTGATCTGTTCGCCGAGCTTGGCAATTGGTTTGCAAACGTTTCGTCACCATTCGAGGAGGCATCTTCAGTGCGCTGTTGGTTGGGTAGTTCCTCTCTTCGTGCCTACGTTTATATAGTCTACAAAGAGCAGTCTTTGCGCTGTAACCTGGATTCTGATTGGCCCGTTCTTCATCTGTATTGCGTCGTGGTCGGCTTCTCTGTTGGCTTGTGGCGTGCCTCCTATTTTT